AATGACCATGGCGGTCATAACCGCCATAGCTCTAAATCCTGAATTATCAAAGCTACAGTCTTTCTGAATTGCTTATATGGTTCAGAATGGTTGCTTTTAGGGGTGGTCACTGGAGGGTGAAATTATCATCAGTTTTATATTTTACAAGCAAATTATGTTTACCATTCCAGGTCAACTGCTAATTAGGCATAAAATTACTGATTCACCCGGAAAAGTCTAATTTTTTCTATTTTCTAAAAATGTTCGCCATATTATGAAAAAAATGCTTTTAATATATTTATTATAAATTTCCAAAAAATAACGATGTTTTGTTGCGATACGACATATTTCATTTCACTTAACCCCCACTAAAACACAATTTCAGCCATATTTTGCAAATTTAATCGCTGTTTTTCGTCGTCCGTCGCAAGCGCCTTCTAAACATGGTACTCTAACACGACTCTAGTGGACTAAAGAATTCTTTTTGCCATTGATTTCATCAATTATGTCGCCATTGCAATGGCATAATCCTCAACAACTCCACCAAGTCCACCTTCGTCACTCAAGCCATTTTCAATATTGTAGTAAATCACATCTGTAAGTCAAAAGCAATTGCTTGTCAATACAAAACAACTTTATACTGAAATATGTAAAGTAGAATGGATATTAGAATAAAAACAAATTAAAAAAAAAATGTTCGTGATATTTGTAGCAATACAATCGACTTGCAAACTTCAACAAATGTTTTAATTCCCATCGACAACTCTGGTGACGGGTTGCAAATTTTAAGGTTGGGAAGGTTTGACTTGGCTTTCTTTGATAATTTTCAACTTGGTGAGTTTTTCTCTCCAAATGTTGCACTTTCTCTTTATGTCATAGATGTTTCAAGATATAAAGTGATTTTTTTTAAAGAGATGAATGAAAGAGTGCAATGGAATAATGGTTTTCAGTCGAGGCCTAAAGAGAAGTCTTTCAGCACTTTTTGTAAATAGTATAGCTAGTAATGGATATTAGAATAAAAACAAATTAAAAAAAATGTTCGTGATATTTGTAGCAATACAATCGACTTGCAAACTTCAACAAATGTTTTAATTCCCATCGACAACTCTGGTGACGGGTTGCAAAATTTTAAGGTTGGGAAGGTTTGACTTGGCTTTCTTTGATAATTTTCCACTTGGTGAGTTTTTCTCTCCAAATGTTGCACTTTCTCTTCATGTCATAGATGTTTCAAAATATAAAGTGATTTTTTTTATAGAGATGAATGAAAGAGTGCAATGGAATAATGGTTTTCAGTCGAGGCCTAAAGAGAAGTCTTTCAGCACTTTTTGTAAATAGTATAGCTAGTAATTTTCAATAAGTGACCGTAAGTAAGAACGGGTTCAAACGGCTCACTCCTTTCACTTACTTGCGAATGCCACTACAGAGAGAAAGATACATAAATATATGCGAGTGAATAATACTGATTATTACTGAAAATGAAAAAAATGAGGAATGATCTAGCAACGGCTTCAGCCAGTGCTTCTTCTCTCAGCAATAAAAAACTCCATAATTCGAAACTCGCTAAAGTGCAAAATTAATGTTTCGAAGTTTTCTGAGCGTCATTTAGTAATACCAGCAAAGTGGTGTTGAAGGTTTTGAGGTATACGATACTTCATCAAATTTAAATTAAAATTTAAATTACAATTAATTTATCCTACCTTTCATTTTTGCTATCGGAAACTGCAGTAGAACGAGATTGAAGCTATAAACACAAATTGAAAATACCAGTTACGGATTTTTGTTAAGCGTTGCAAGTATTCTACAAACATCGTGCTTATAAAATGTCTCAATATTTTGAACCATGTTTCATGGTATTTGTTTTCAAGAAATAATAGATGGACAGAAGAAACAAAAATGAGGCTCACATCAAATCTCATAGTTGGAGAAAGAATAAAATTAGACCTCTAGATGTCACCCAACCAGGTTGATCTTTTTTGTTATTTTCGGAATAATTTTATTCATAAAAATTTTATCATGTTCGCTCTCTGTTGTCATTTCCTACCATCTGTTGAGACCTCTGTGCCGCTAGGCAAGCTACAGCGAAAGAGCACTGGCTTCCACTGTGATATCTTATCTGTGAAGTCTTATCAGTGCCCGTTTCGTTGAAGAAACGATGAACCAAGATTCAACTTCGCGTCATAAAATCTTTGAAACATCAGCCCGACTTTCTTCATATTTCAACTGAAGGCATTTCCGTGAAGTACTTTAGATAAAAAAGTCATTTATATCCGGATTGGGTTCCTCCTCCAGGGCAAGAGTCGTGCATTGACCACGTGATAACGAAACATTCTGAGCTCATCAGTGAAGGATGAACAATTGTAAAGGTTTTATTGCAACTCATAAGAATTACCAAAGGATATATTTTGTAAAATCTATTATATTACGAGCGTCTTTCCTTAAGTCTAGCGACCTACATTGTTCCGGTACCGCATGAGAAACTCTAGCTCGAATCCTCTTGATCTGACGTATTCTTTGTAACCAATTACAGCCTAGGTATCTGTAGTTTTCTTCTGATTTTGGTGAATAACTGACGCAATCTTAAAAAGAAAAACATTCGTATACCGTCAATATCACATCCGGACATTTAAATTACCCTAAGTTACTGACCAAATTTATTTAACATGCATTGCAATATGACGAACCAACTTCGACAGGTTTTTATCGGAAATAACTCTAGGGCCATAATTTGTATTGTTTAGAATATCCCTGAGTTCATCTTTAACGTTCAAACACACGATATTACTGTCGTTATCAATGGAAATGTCAAATACGCTCCTAAGAGCTTTCACTAGAAGAATATTAAAACTTGGTCGCTCTTGCAAATATATTTTGTTGTTTAAGCATGAATACGCTGGGCATACAGTGTATGCCAATTTAAACAATGATACTGAAAGAATTTTCCTTACCTGACTAATTGAGGCCTCGTTTTTGTTTCTCTTAAGCTCAACTTTTAAAACCTCAGGCTCCGTGCCCTTCTGCAGTGAATCATCTCACACAAACACTTTTCCTGCCGAAAAATATGCGCATGACATGTTCGAAGTTGCCCGCTTGTTGACTGTAACCGTGATCAACACATTGCCAAGCAACCAACTTCTTGACGCTCCATTGCGCAGGAGTCGTTCAACAACTGCAGCTCTATAAAAACAACAAAATAGTCATCTTCCCTGAAACACAGTGCAGAAAAATACGAAACCAACATACAGACCTTTTTGGTTGGGTCAAATAAGAAGAAAATGTATATTTGACCATCATATCACCCACGATTTCCATCATCTCTGAACTAAGTGTGTTGCTTGAGTCTTCCTTTGATTTCTCAAGGGAGTTTGGGAGTGAATGGAATTTGGTGGGGGGATTAGTGACTAAGGGTATGGGTTTGCAGCATCTGAAGATATATCTGCGTTGTTAAGACTCTAAAGGAATACAAGGACAAATGATTGAAAACGAGCTTGCATATAAGCAAAATTATGTAACATGAAATGGACAAGTTTATGTAACAACACTGCCTAAGCTGTATAAAGTTTAAACACCACTTCTTAATATCTATTGAAAATTTAGCAAGCAATCTCCGTGGCCATAGAATGACATGTGGACTTACTTTTGTAATCAATGGCACGAATTGTTTTCTTAACAACAGTGGACAGTTGACAAACCAGGATGAAATGACATTATCAGCAAGAGTTACCGTGTATTGAGAGTATCTAAGGTGAAACATATCAGTTCGTTTATATTTTATTCAATTTCACAAAACCAATAATAAAAAGTTTGAGATGTTATCGCGTTAAACAAACCTCGATGATGCTGTGTGAGGCAAACATATTCCAATGACTTGTTTCAAATGGATCGCTGTGAATTTTTTGTACTAATCACGAAGCTTTGACAATGCTATTTAAACGTTTTAAAAGAATGTTAGCAACTTTTCGTCGAATACGATTGAGTGTTTATTACACCTAGCTCTCCTTAGGGGGTACATTGATATTTCATAAAAGATTTCTTAATTTACGTAACTTCAAGAAACATACCAGAGAGAAATTCTAACAGTGGTATGACAACTTGAGGCGTTGGCGAAAGTTTAGTAAACTTTTCCAGATATGTTAGGAGCAGCCTAAGGACAAAAATTTAGAAATTATTACCCAAATAATCTTGTGAAGGAGTATCTCGCATAACAAGAGACGTTACATTTAGGCTGGAGTTTATTGAAAAACATTTTTGTAAATTCACTGAGCACATTATCAAGGCACGATTTCAAATATCTCCAAAGTAATAAACTTCAAAAACGCTGCAATTACTTAAATCAACTTCATTTTTTACAAAGTGCTAATGGACATAAAAAACGTCTCAAATTCCAGACAATCTTAAGTAGCCATACCTTGCCATAACTGAAGACATTTCTAACATACATATGGTGAGACAAGATACGCTTAACGTCGTGGAATGAGCAACCAAACCAATCTCCAAAGTACGCATCAGACAAAACTAGACGAAATATACAACAACGTTTAAGCGAGAACAGACAACCGCTGAAAATAAAGTGAAGCAGGTTCTTACCTGTTCATCTTGCCCAATAAAAATGTGGTACGTACACAGTTCTGTTAATACCTGCACATGTTACAATAAAATATCCAATTAAATCATTAGTATAGTATGATATAATTATGGTATAAATTGGTTATGCTATGGTATGGTGTGATATAATTATGGTTGATATGGTTATCGTATGGCATGATTTGGTCATGGTATGGTATGGTGTGATATAATTTTGGGATTATATGGTTATCGTATGGTATGATATGGTTATCGTATGGTATGATTTGGTTATGGTTAGTTATGGTATGATATGATTATATGATATGATTATATGATATGATTATATGATATGATGTGGTTATGGTTATGGTTTGGTATGGTATGGTTTTGGTATAGTTATGGTAAGATATTATGATAGATGCAAAAAACTGAATGATAAGAACCGTACTGGAAAAATTCTAGCGTACAAATGAGGTCGGCGCATATCATGAGGAACGCGAAATAATCCAGGGAGAAAATCATAATTTCAAACCTGAATGCAAAGTAAAATTTTTAGTTCATGATTTTGGTGTGAAAAGTGCACAACTTTACATCCTTACCATTTTAGATAACACTGTACATATTGAACGTAAGTAGTGCTTTCGAGAATGTATCAAGGTTTTATCTTGCAGTGCCTCCGGAAAGTTTCTCAGAACAACATCCAACACCTCCCATTCCAATTTCTAGAAAATGAAGAAAGTTGAACTTCAATCGAAACTTAATGCCAGATGATTATTATGATAGAAAAGTTTACCTGTTGTAAGCACACAGGAATAACATTCATCGCCTCGCTGTAAGGCAGTGAAACAATCCCGGTTGTCTTATCTTCTGCAGAACTAAAACAAAAATGAGAATGTATTACACTAACAAGAAAAGGAATTTTGGAAGCAGAATAGCTGACATGTCTTGCACTATCATCATTAACCAACGTTTTCCTTTCAGAACAATTAACATACGAAGTGAATTTGACTTTTCCACTTTTGTCTTGCACAGGCCTTGACGTTGTCAGCTCGCAGACTGAGAAAACATTGAAGAATCTTTACAAAAAAACAATGTAAGACATCATAGAAAAATCGCAAGAAATAACATTGAATTTGGCTTACCACAAGTCGTATCTCCGATGCAATAGACGTCCGATAGCCATTGTCATAATGAGTTTTTATTTGGTACACTAATATATTGAATATTCGTTCTGCAATTACATAATAGGAAAGGGAGAATAAAAAAAAATATTTTATATAACATCAGTGTAAAATGAATGATGGAACTGTACAGCAAAATATGGTGTAGGCATAACACGTGGCCCTGCGAAGTAGTTGGCACTAAGAACCATGCTGTCATACCTGCCATCACCAGATATCATCAGATAATCTTGGTTTTTTAATGTTGAAAATAATCCGTTTTGATACTTTTTCCTATGAAGATATATCACAGGGAATATTTTTTTCCTACAATTATTATATACAAGTACTATAATATCTAATTCCCGTCTGGTCCCTATTAGGCTATTACTCCTGACAATATTGTCGCACAGAAGAAAAACATTAAATATCTCAGCAAGTATTTGGGCTAAAGACCCCGGAATACCAGTAAACGATAGCGGTTAAAACGATTCTTTGAATAGTATATTCCAACCAGCATATAGTTATAACCTGCACTTGTATTATACGTGAAAATAAGAATTAAAAAATAGCTTGCTTTGTTATCTGAAATTACTCACCCATTGCAAGATATATTTTGGAAATTCCATATTTTTTCGCTTTTTTGGTCTCTGTTGTCTTCAAAATGTCTAGAATTTGACATGTTATCATTCTGTTTTAATTCTGAGTAATTCTTGGTGTAGTATGTGCAAAATAATCAAAGAAAGAGCATTTTATAAGTTCTAAGCGATAATCATTGCTAATCACGTGCTTAAGGCAAGCTCGAATCGGACCTAGGTCAGATTTTCGGCTTTTGGCCCGAAATATTTATTATTGTGAAATATTATTGCCGGTGATGCGATATATCATATCATCAGGTATGTTTAAATAAAAAATGGGCAAAAATCTTCTAAAGGCTTGATTTTGACGCTAAAGATATCAAAATAATCCTGAATATGTGAGCTAAACCACTGCAACCGGTTTTCGTTTGCATTCGGGCAATATCCAAAGAATTAGGCCGCTTTGATGTGTAATATTGAATATATACAACACGTGAATATCGTAGCTGTGAATAGCTATGTATGCATAGCGGTAAAA